AACAAACTTGTTCAAAATATCGTTAATTGTGATGATAATGTGTTTGAAATTTATAAGTCCATCATTTTTGCTGAATTCTATGTTTGACTCATATAGAGAGGATACAAATACGATTAAATTAGGTAAGGATAACACCTGAGATTGCCATTAATTCTCTTAGAAGTAAAGAGATGGAGACTAAGGCTGAAAAAGAGAATAAGAGGAGTGATGAGTTACATGTGATGAGGAGTATAATGAAGTTTAAGTGCAGTTGAATTTAGGTAGAGCTCAACACAGTAGTGATTCGAGTAGTGATGGGGGTGGTAAGAAAAAGGGCAAGGGTTGTAACAAGTCCGATGGTAAGCAGTGTTACAACTGTGGTAAGTCTGGATACTTTGTGAGGGATTGTCTTAAGAAGAAGAATTAGTAGAATGGTAAGATGACATGTGAGGTGAATGTGGCTATGGGGTCGAGTGATGACCCTAATGAGGTTTATTGAGAGTAAATCTAGTTTCTGCATGCGTATCTGTGTAATCATTATGCATGTTAGCATGTGTGTGATTGCTTAATTATGTTGTATGGTTATATGTTCCATTTCAACGTTTTTGATATGTACATTTGCATGAATTTGATAGCAATATGATTACTAGGTGTAATGTATTTTGTATGTATAGTGGGTTGAGATGTATTAACGGTAATGTGGAGTATAGATGGCTAGGGGCACATTGTTGATTTGTATTGAGGATGTAGAGTGTGACATTTGGATCACGGGTGGAGATGTGATTAAATGTTGGAATCCTTCATTTGTGAAGATCATGTGGAGTGTGAGAGATACACTTTTAGCACTTTTATTGGATGGAGACCCATTATTCACGTAGGTTGGGAGAAGTGATGTGGTGATAGAGGATTATCCCGTAGACTTAGGATTTATTGTGGTTTAACAGTTAGACATGAGTTGAATCATTAGTCTAGTGAGCATGATGGACGAGGAGAGGAGATATGTGTTCTTGAGGTATGAGCAACACGGAATGGAATATGATAAGTGTGGTAAGATCTTTTCGTGAGGTCATTTGTCCATTTGTTGCATGTGTTTTTTTACCGTATGATTGATTAACATAGTGTTAATCTATTATTCCGTGTGAACGTGTTCTGAAAAGATATGTGGGTTATTCTATGTTATATCTTCATCGCATGAATATGTGCTCTTAATTGTTTATTGTGATTATTTGCTTCTACTTAGGTATTTATTTGACCTTAACCCTTATGAATACATGGAGCATGTATGGTATGACATGTGTTTTGGATATGAAATACGAGGCCAGGCCCGTTATTTCAATTTTATTGGTTGCCTTGATTTTCCAATCATTAACTTTGTGTTTTGATTGTTTGGAGGTTGATTAGATATCAAGGTGGAAATTTGCTGAGTTTTGATACTCAATGAATTCTGGGATATGATATAAATGTTGAATTGATATTATAGACATTGGTCGATGAGTGAAATTGTTACCAACAACTAAGTCCAAATGCTCGACTTGAAAACAATAGGACCATTGAAAGTAGTTTAAGAAATTAATATTACTCAAGGCATATAAATATTTACCTATTGGATGATTTTGAATATTGACCAATTCAACCCTATTATTGGTCTAAGTAAAGTCTAACCTACTCCTATGAATTGGTTGCCTTTACCCTAGCCATTAGTGTGTGATTTGTGTTTGAGAAAGAGAGAGAAACATGCACCATTAGAGAACAAAAACCGGTTGCCTTTGTGTTCCAAAATTGGTGATTAATTGTGTTACTGGTCTCCTCATGTGCCGTTTTTTTTTATTGTTTTTCTTCTCGCATTTGTAGCTTACAAATCAATACTATAATTTTGTCATTTGGGGTGAGATTGAGAAACAATCGAGATAAATATTGATTATGTTTTGGAGCCGTTTAAATTGACTGTTTGGTAAAGAAAGAGAACGTGAAATTGAGCTTGAAAAATACTATTTTGAAGGAATTATGTTATTTGTACCCTTTATGGTATAGTTCGATTTACCCGACCCCACCTCCTCCTCCACATCCAATAAATGTGTGGGACCCAACTCCCATGTGAAAGAATTATGTTATTTGTACCCTTTAGGGTAAACTTTGATTTACCTGACTCCACATCCTCCTTCACATGAGGGTCAGGTCCCACATCCAATAAATGCGTGGGACCCAACCCCAATGTAAGGGAGGGTGCGGGGCCGGATTAGGGGTAGCAAAAAAGCTCAACGGCTCGGGCTTTTCCTGAGCCGGGCCCGACCGGGCTCGGGCCGAGCCCCATGTGAAGTTATTTAAAAAAAAAAAAAATTTCAAAATTTTGAATTAAAGTTGCCTGTGTGAGGCAGCTACATTTTGTGGTTGGGCCTGCGTGCAGGCACTTAACCTCTTGCACGCAGATGACGTGCACGCA